GTATATTATCTATCAGAACAAAAAACACAGAGTATATCCTGAACAGCAAGAGCACACTTGAGAGTGCTTTGCAAATAGCATCACCCTTTAATCCAAAACAAAACAACAGTCACTTTCTTGTCCCATAGTTTATTTAAAGATGCAAAGACAGTGTGCTATAGGCTACTTTCCTCCAGTTGATAATGTATGTAAAGCCATACTTTTGTCTTTTATGGGTTCAGAAATCAAGCAAGTTGTGTTCATGGTAACACATTTTATCAGTTCTCATACAAACTTTATGGGTTCAGAAATCAAGCAAGTTGTGTTCATGGTAACACATTTTATTATTTCTCATACTCATATTCCACTAAAAATTTCTTCTTCTTCTTCTTCTTCTTCTTCTTCTTCTTCTTCTTCTTCTTCTTCTTCTTCTTCTTCTTCTTCTTCTTCCTCCTCCTCCTCCTCCTCCTCCTCCTCCTCCTCCTCTTCTTCCTCCTCCTCCTCCTTCTTCTTCTTCTCCTCCTCCTCCTCCTTCTCTTCTTCCTCCTCCTCCTCCTCTTCCTTCTCCTCCTTCTCCCAACACATTTGGACTCAACTGGTGTGTTTTCTTCTTTTCAAATGAAGAATATTCTACTGTGAGACACACAATGGTTACCTGAAAATGGAAGGGGAGACTGCTACATGTAGGCATTGTTATATAGTTTTGTCATCAAATTTCCAGGAAAAGTGGTGGATTTCCACTGGTTAGCATAAACAGTTGTAAGTTAAAAGACACTGTTAATAAAGAGTGGGTTATGTCTAGGATGGTGATGATTCCTTGGGAGACTTTCTTCTCCTGTAACTTGTGGTTCAAATAGAGAAAACATTACAATTGTCCAACCTGGTCAGTAATGAAGCAATGCAAACTATTCAGACAGTATTAAAAGTATGAGACATCTCATAGTGGAAAAAAAGTGTAGAAGACATCTCAGCAAGTGTGGAACTTGGATCAGCTGTGGGCCCAAGAGAGCAACATAGTGGATGAAGTTAGTTATCACCTTCCAAGTATGTTATTAAATACAGAAACAAGAATTATAACAATCAAGCAATTTTTGGATATATTAGTATATAAATTAACCAGTATTTTACTTTGCAGTTTTAATTCTTCTGATAACATCAGATTATTTATTCTAGATATTCAAAGATGCAATATTTAATACCAAATGGGAACTATGACTTGGTGAGGAAAAGTGACATCAACTGAGAAAGTCTAGAATAATTTTGGTTTCATATTGTGCAAGGTTGTCATATAAACTTACTACTATCTTTACAAATTTGTTTTGGTCATAGGTGATATGTTTGGATGCCTATCTGTTAAAGGGCAAATTGTAATAGTCTTAGAAAATGTGAGTAAGCTTATCTACATTCTTGCTTGACATTTTATTCTGTTAAAGTTTGCTCAGATTTTGAGAGGCTATATAGAAATTATGGGAGAGACATCAGTAATGCCAAACAACCCCACCACCTGACTGTGGGTCATGTGTCCATCTCCATGGACCCCCCAGTTCATGTACAAAACTCAGGATTATACTTCTAACCCCACACACAATCTTATCCCACATTTACCTGCCAAATGTCATACCCTCAATTCTAATCAGAAAGCTCTGAACCACACCACCATCATTCTACACCCATCCATGCAGAACACACATGGAAACATCTCTGAAATGAAATTGGAGACTCACACCACATGCTCCAACCATCCCTGTGACCCAAGGACTGCCACTCTTCATTGAAGGATACACCAGTAATCCTACCTACCCATAACATCTGCTCCAGCTCCTGGTGTCTCATTCCTGTCTTCCTTTGCCTGCTCTGGAATTTCTGTTGAGATAGAACTACTATAATCTTCAAAGTAGAAATGATCTAAAGCACCAGGATCATAACCAAGAAGATGTTTCTATCTTTTTTTCCATTTTTTTAATAGGAAAGAAAATTATTTTACATGACAATCCCAGGTCCCTCTCCTTCCCCTACTCCCCTCCTCCTCTGCTACCTCCAACTAATGCCCTACCCATCCTATACCCTTTCTGCTCCCCAGGGAGGGTGAGGCCTTCCATAGGGGGTCTTAAAAGTCTGTCATATTCTTTGGGATAAGGCCTAGGCCAACCACCTTGTGTCTAGGCTCAGGAAGTATCCCTTCATGTGGGATGGGCTTCTAAAGTCCATTCCTGTGGTAGTGATAAGTACTGATCCCCTACAAGAGGCCCCATAGATTTCCAAGGTCTCCTCACTGACACCAATATTCAGGAGGTCTGGATCAGTACCATGCTGCTTTCCAAGCTATCAGTTTGGGGACCAAGAGTTTTCTCTTGTTCAGGTCAGATGTTTCTGTGGGTTTCACCAGCCTGGTATGGACCACTTTGCCAATAAGTCCCCCTTCTCTGCATCTGGATTTCACTTCAGTTCAAGGTTTAGTTTTGGGTGTCTGCTTCTACTTCCACCAGCTGCTAGATGAAGGCTATACAATGTCATATGAATTAGTCAACAATCTCATTATCAGGAGAGGGCATTTACAGTTGCTTAGATTGTTAGTTGGGGTCAACTATGTAGCTCTCCAGACATTTCCCTAGTGCCTGATTTCTCTTTGAACCTATAATGTCTCCCTCTATTACATTATTTCTTATCTTTCTCTCTTCTGTTCTTCCCAAAACTCAACCTCCTTGTCCCAGCATGTCTTCCTCACCCCTCCTCTTCTCCCCTTCTCATTCTCCTAGTTCCCTCTCCTCTCCTGCCATGCTCCCAATTTCCTCAGGAGATCTAGTCCCTTTCCCCTTCTCCAGGGAACCATGTATGTCTCTTAGGGTCCTCTTGTTTACCAGCCTCTCAGGCAGCCTGGGCTGCAGGCTGGCAATCCTTTACTCTATGTCTAAAATCCACATATGAGTGAATACATACAATGCCTGACTTTTTGTGACTGGGTTACTCAGAATGGTTTCTTCTAGTTCCATACATTTGCCTGCTAATTTCAAGATTACATTGACTTTTTTTCCCTGCTGATTAGTACTCCATTGTGTAAATGTACCACTTTTTTTTTTCTATCCATTATAAAGTTGAAGGACATCTAGGTTTTTTCCAGGTTCTGGCTATTACAAATAATGCTGCTATGAACATATTGAACAGATGTCAGTGCTGTAGGAATGTACTTCTTTTGGGTATATGCCTAAAAGTGGAATTGCTGGATCTTGTGGTAGACTGATTCCAACTTTCCTGAGGAATCAGCACACAGATTTCCAAAGTGGCTGTATGAGTTGACATTCCCACCAGCAGTGAAGGAGTGTTCCCCTTTCTCCAAAACCTCTCCAACATAAACTGTCATTGGTGTTTTTGATTTTAGCTATTGTCACAGGTGTAAGATATTATCTCAATTTATTAATTGTGGATCTCAGTGTCTGTGCTACTGGTGTTATGTTTAGGACATGCTCTTCTGTACCAATTCATTCGAGGGTATTTCCTAGTTTTTCTTCTAATAAGTTCAGTGTGGCTGGATTTATGTTGAGGTCTTTGATCCATTTGGACTTAAGTTTTGTTCACGGTGATAGACATGGATCTATCTGCAGTCTACTACATGCCAGCATCCAATTATGCCAGCACCATTTGTCGAAGATGCTTTCTTCATTCTATTGTATAGCTTTGGCTTCTTTGTCAAAAATCAGGCATCCATAGGTGTGCGGGTTAATATCAGGGTTTTCAACTTGATTCCATTGGTCTATCTGTCTATTTTTGTGCCAATACCACACTGTTTTCAGGAGTATAGCTCTATAATAGAGCTTGAAATCAGGCATGTTGATGCCTCCAGAAGTTCTTTTATTGTACAGGGTTGTTTTGGCTATCCTGGGTCTTTTCTTTTTCCATATAAACGTGAGAATTGAGTTTTCAAGTTCTGAGAACAATTGTGCTGGGATTTTGATGGAGATTGCTTTGAATCTGTAGATTGCTTTTGGCAAGATTGCCATTTTTATTATGTTGATCCCACCTATCCAAGAACATGGGAGATCCTTCCATTTTTTGGTTTCTTCTTTAATTCCTTTCTTTAAAGACTTAAAGTTCTTACTGTACAGGTCTTTCACTTCTTTGGTAAGCATTACTGCAAGTTATTTTATGTTGTTTGTGGCAATTGTAAAGGGTGATGTTTCTCTGATTTCTTTCTCAGCCCATTTATCATCTATACATATTTGGGCTACTGATTTTTTTTTTAGTTAATCTTGTATCCTGCCACTTTGCTGAAATTGTTTATCAGCCATAGGAGTTCCCGGTTAGAGTTTTTCAGTTCACTTACTTAGACTATCATATCATCTGCAAATAGTGAAAATTTGACTTCTTCCTTTCCAATTTGTATCCCCTTGGTCTCTGTTTCTTGTCTTGTTGCTCTAGCTAGAACTTCAAGGACAATATTGAAGAGATATGGAGAGAGTGGAACAGCCTTGTCTTGTTCCTGATTTTAGAGGAATCACGTTGAGTTTCCATTTATTTTGTTGTTGGACGTTGGCTTATTGTATATTGTTTTTATTATGTTCATGTATGTTCCTGTTATTCATGATCTCTCTAGGACCTTTATCATGAAGGGATGTTGGATTTCATCAAAGGCTTTTTCAGCATCTAGTGAGATCATCATGT